GGTCGACGACCACGTCGGTGGCATGGAGTTTGGAAGAGCCGTCGCCGAGCTCAGCGCTGCCATACTCGATTCCTCGCAGAGAGGCTCCCGTTCAATTCCGCAGTACATCCACGTGTCGCAGCAGGAGGCCTTCGACTCTGCGGACGAGCGCGCGTACCAGGTGCTGGGGCTCGCGGAGGGGGAGGACCCTGGGCACTTCGTCGGTGTCCGGCTTTGCGCGGGGGACGACGCTGTACTCTTCGACCCTGATGCAAAAGAATACGAACAGTGCATGCCCACAGAGGATATCGCTCGTCTATGCGAGGGGCGCTCGCTGGTGTGGTACCGCTACTCGATCTCTCCTCTTGGCCAATTGGCTGCCACTGTGAATGGGCCGGTATACCTCTTGGAGGGCAAGGGCACCGGCAGCGCTCCGAAGCGCAAGCCCGCCGCCGCCACGGGGAGCAAACCCGCCACAGTGCGTTGCGGTGGGCAGGTGGTCAGCAAAAAACCAGCGAGCGGGTGCCCAGAAGACCGCATCTCGGAAGCCGGCTTCGGGGAGCGCAGTGAAGAGGCGACCCGCAGGTGCCTCGCCCAAGCCACGGGGGCAGAACACCACATCTTGGAAGCCAGTTGCTGGGGGTGCCGTGAAGAGGCGGCCCGCAAGCGCACTCCCCAAGCCAACCGCGAAGACTCGCAAGAGTCACGCCAAGGGGAAGATGACGAGGGGGCGCCCCGCCGCGAGCGACCGCACTGTCAAGGGGGCCAAGCGGAAAGGCCCCCGCTGCGCCCATCATGGCACTGGCTGGCTCATGATATGTACACCGTCCGGACGCGTGGTGAGCGTGGTGGAACAGCGGGGCCACGAGAACAATGCCGTGGTGCGGGAGAGCCTCGTGGAGGTGCTTGGCCACTAGCCCGCGGTGAACTGCTTCATCTACGACAGGGCCCGCGACATCCATGCCAGAGCTCGCCCAGCTGAAGCACTACGTCGTGGAGAAGTGGCACGCCACCAGCCGCGTCGACGAGTGCCCCTGCAACCCGCACACGGTCCAGCGCCTCGGCAGGAGGGTCAAGGACGTGATCACGCTTGCTTGCGAGCAGGTTTATTCCTGGTTCAGAGGGTACGCTCACGTGTTCAACGCGCTCTCCCCGATCCGCCACCGCTTCCTGGTGTTGTACTTCGTCAGGAAGCACAACCACCACCATGCGAAGGGCAACGCCGACGACCTGCCCGTGGCAGGGGCCGTGCGGGCCATGGAGTACAGGCGGGGGGGACACCACGCCTGCGCGTGAGAGCACGGGGAATACGCCCACGCGCCGCGCTTCATCTTGCAAGCCCACGTTGTGGATTATACAGGTGGCGCTGTGGTCGCCACGACCACACGGCCGCCGATGAGGAACAATGATGGCGGGCAAGGGGCCTGGGCGGAGGGGAGCGAAGGAGGAGGAGAGGTAGCGCGGGTCGGGGCAGGCCACCCCCTCGAGGTGCCATCGTGGCGGTGGAACGGGGGGTGGTGGTGGGTGGCCGGGGGGCGGTGGCGGGGGGTGGGGGTCAGAGGGGTGGGGGGGTAATTAGGGAGCGCTTCTTTGGGGGGGGGGGGGGGGGCAACAACAAAAAATGCCAGAGAGGGGGTCAGGCCGATGTTGTTTTTGCCCCCCCGCCCCCCCCCCCCCCCCCCCCCCCCCCCCCCCCCCCCCAAGACGGCGCCGCGGGCGGTAGGGGAGGGGCGTTCTGGCCTCTCGCCCTTTCCTCCCACCCCCGCTCCCTCCCTCTCCCTCCCCCTACCGCACCGCTCCCGCGTGTTTTCTCTTTCTCTCTCTCGCTCTCCCTTTCTCCCCCTCTTTTTTTTCTCTCTCTCTCTCTCTCTGTCTGGCTTTCTCTCTCTCTCTCTCTCTCTATCTTTTTTTTTTCTCTCTCTCTCTCTCTCTCTCTCTCTCTCTTTCTCTCTCCGACCATCCCTCCCTCCCTCCCTCTCTCCCGCTCTCTCTCTCGATCTACCAGGCCCTCCTTCTCACCCCCACCCGCGCTGCAACGCGCACCTCGGAAGTCAATGGCGCAGCGCGTCGGCCCCCCAGACCGCCACCCCAGAATCCCCCGTTTTCCGCGACACACAGGACCGACCATGTGAAGCTGAACGGAGAGCATGCGAGGACATCAATGGAAGTAGCTTTCCGCTCTCCGATCCACCTCCACGGGACGGCAACCTCGACAGTCCTGGATCAGCGTGAGTAACCTCAGCTTGCAGGACGGACGAGCCATGTTCCTACGCCTTGCCAGCAGACTGGGACAGGATGCGAGACGTGCCATGCTGAGTGCTGTTCTCTGCTGGGCAATGGCACCATGTAGCGCCAACGAGGTCACGACTATCCTAGGGAAACAAGCAATGACATAAACATTCAAAAAATTCGGATGTCCGCGCGGACATGTTGGATCGGCGCTGGGCCCCCCTTCCTGGCGCGCCGAACGCGCCAGGGGCGGCGCCGGAGGCGCCGCCAGGGGGCCCCAGCGCCGATCCAAGAAATCGGCGTGGACCTCCGAGCTTTTATGTTTATGTCATTATTCGTCCCCTGACATCCCGCAAGCGGCCAGCGGTCGCTACCCTAGCTTGCCGGCCTTGGTGCATGCTGCGAGATCTCTGCACCATGCCTGCAGCATGCCTCCGCAGGCCACGGAACCTTTGCTCCTACACTAGACCTCGCCATCCCTGGGGGGGGTGCGAACTGCGAAACTGTCGGTACTTTCGAAACCTGCTGGGGGGTCCAATGGAGTGACGTCCCACGCAGGCCTAAATTAGACCTCGTCGTCCCTGGGGGGAGAAGGGGCTGCGAGCCAAAAAACAATCGCCGCGTTCGAAGGTTGGTGTGGGGTCCCGGGGGCGAGGTGAGCCAACCTAACTTAGACCGCGCCATCCGTGGGGGGGGCTGCGATCTGAAAAACCCTCGCCACTTTCGAGGGCTTCTGGGGGTCCAGCGGAGTGACGTCACGCGCCGACCTCAACTAGACCTCGTCACCCCTGGGGGGCTGCAACCTGAGAAGCGGCCGCCACTTTCGAGGGTTGCTGGGGGGCCCAGCGGAATGACATCCCTTGCGTACCTACATTAGACTCGCCGTCCATGGGAGGGGGGCTGCGATATGCAAAACTGTCGCAGTTTTCGAAGTTTGCGGGGGGGTCCATCGGGGCGACCTCCCATGCAGATCTGCGAAACGGACGCCACTTTTGCAGGGTTGCTGGGAGGTCCCGCAAAGTGACGTCCTACGCAGACTCAGACTCAGTCTAGTCCCACGGAGGCTCCGATTCAGACTAGATCTGCGAACTGCGAAACTGTCGCCACTTCCGAACGTTGTTGGGGGTCCAGCACAGTGACGCCCCACGCAAATCCAAACTAACCTTGGCTCCCTTTCCCGCGGACCGCCCGAATACCTTGCGGCGCGCCTGCCTGCGGTTAGCTCCCACAGCGCAAGGTGCTGGAAGGAAACAGAAAACCTAGCGGGCGAGCTCGGCCGCGCTCGCGTCTTGCACTAGCGATGGACAACTGATCTTTTGGAGCGCCCGGGCGACATGGTGCGGACTGGGCTGCTTGCCCAGCGTGCCACTGGAAAATGACCGCCACCCTCCTTCCTCATTATGCCTCTTTCGTTGTGGTCTTCCTCCCTCACCGCCGCACTGCTGCTGTCGCGTTAACTTGTCGGCCCCTTTTCCGCTGTTTCGCCCCCTCGTTTGCACACCCATTTCCTCATCGAGCCTGGGGCCTCACTCCTCGTCCGTCTGTTACTGTCACGTTAGTCGTGCAACGCACGCGCTTCCCATACAGCTCGCAAAACCCATCACCCAGTGATGTCATGAGCCATACTGTTATGGACCAGCTCTTCTTGTCATTGAGAGCAGATGGGCCGCAGAGTAGTTTCACAGCTTGCAACAGTCTCGAGGATGGTGCGCTGCTGGTTGTCAAGATGTTGCAATCGCCTTAGCGCTACGTGCGCTCGAAAGCTTGTATGCTCCAAGTCCCAGGTCTGGTACTCTGGCACGAGATAGGCCTGTCAGGAGGCAAGAGTCACACGACGATCTTCTGGCACGAATAGGATTGCCAGGACTCACGCTGATTCGCGGCGATGAAGTCCCAGTAAGGGTGTCATGACGCGGATCTGGATTCTCACACGTTTGCCTTCCAACAGGGCACTTCCCGCAATGGACAACGATTGCAGGAACCTATGAAAGGGAACTTGGAGGGAGGGTGCTCTGTAACATCGTTGATGCGTCTTGGGTTTAGTTACGCTGGTCCTCGTCCTCCTCCTCTTCCTTCTCCTCCTCTTCCTGACCTTCCTCCTCCTCCTCCTCCTCCTACTCCTCCTCCCCTCCTTCTCCTCATCATTCCCGTTCCCCCTCTTCTTTTTCCTCCTCCTCCTTGTCCTCCTCTCCACCCTCGACGACGACGACTACAGCGCACCGTTTTCGAATGCGTCCAGCAACCCATCTGACTGATAAATCTGTTGGTGCAAGCACTTCACTGCCTCTGCCAGAGCAGCTCGTGGTCTACCCAGGTCTCTGAACAGACCGTATTTTCTCCCAGCCCATACCAAGAAAACCAACAATGTGCTGTTCCCACCCCCCACACATTTCACCTCCAATAATGCATCTGGTGCCCATACTCGGATCCCATCGGCGACCACGACGGTCGCTACCGATACTCAGACCTCCAACGTCGCGATGCGTTGCGCATTGGCTCCCCAAGGGTCTGGACCCGTTCCCAGAAGGCCGGCTCTTCATCCTCAGCCCTTCTCTGACGGACCCGGGAAACAAGGCTCCGAAAGATTTCGAAAAAACCGCCAGAAGCCCTCCGCCGTGACATTTGCCGCGGCGCGGGGCGGCCTGGGCACCGCCGCAACGACTGCGACGACGACGACGACGACGACGACGACGACGACGACGACGACGACGACGACGACGACTGCGGCGACGGCGTGACGCTGGTGCCGACGGCGAACGGCGGCGGCGACGCGGCCCCCGCGCCAGGGACGCCTCGCTGTTGCGGCCGAAGCCGACCACGGTGCCCCGCGACGTGAGGCACAGCGTGTGCTGTGCGCCGCACGCCGCCAGCCGCACGCCGCAGTCGAGCGCCGTGACCGGCCGGAAGTACGAGGTCTGGGCGCGCATGGGGGGTTTTCGGTGGCGCGCACCAGGGCGGGTGGGGGCCTGAGGGCACAGGAGGCCAAGACAGCCCAACCGAGCCCCAGGAGAGCTCCTCAAGTGGAGACGAGATGCCTGGCATGTGAGGACCTTTCTCTTTCTCTTCCTCCTCCTCCTCCTCCTCCTTTTCCTTTTCCTCCTCCTCCTCCTCCTCCTTTTCCTGTTCCTCCTCCTCCTCCTCCTCCTCCTCCTCCTCCTCCTCCTCCTCCTCCTCCCCTCCACCCCCTCCTGGCCAGCATTCTCCTCATCGTCCACGTCGTCCTCACCACGGCCCACCCGCGCCTGGGGATACGAGGAGTCACATGTGACGGTTTCCCGTACCTCATTGAACAGCCGCTGCCCAGAATGATGGGCTGGTGTGGCGGAGGAGGAGGAGGAGGCGGAGGAGGAGGAGGAGGAGGAGGAGGAGGAGCCGGAGGCGGAGGCGGAGGCGGAGGCCGAGGCGGAGGCGGAGGGAAGGGCTTGTCGCAGGCGGCTGCATCATTCATCTGTGACGTACACCTGGCGAATTTCTAGGACGGGCCGGGCGTGTTCGCCAGAGACGCCTTCGCGCCTTACGGCCTTGAGTCTTGAACATTCGAGCAGCTTCACGGATGGAGGGCGAATCGATCTCAAAATGGGGCGATTGCGCCGACTCGACACTCTGACTTGTGCATCAACTCCACGGATGGAGGGCGCTTGATTTTTCGAGACAACACTATGACCAAACCTCTCTATTTGCGCAGACGTTCCACGGACGAAGGAAGGCTCCTTTTCAAAAGGAGCTCTCGCCAGACACTCCGCAGCTCCCCGCACTGCCACACGTCCCTGTTCAACCCGAAGGTTGGAAGGCAGAGCCCCTGTTGAGTGCCTGCCTCAATTGCGGACCCACGGGGCTTGGCACAGAGAAAAGCAATGCTTGTAAAGACTTGCGAGGAGGTGCTTGGGACGGGAGGGTGCACTTGGAGGAGCAAAACGACAACAGAAACTTTCGGAGTTCCGCGCGTCCCGGGTCGGTTATGGCCAGGGGCGGCGCCAGAGGCGCCGTCGAGGGGGCCCCAGCGCCGATCCTGGAAGACTGCACGAACCTACACAAGTTTCTACGTATGCCGGTTGATATTCTTCTTCGAGTGTCACAACATCGTTGGCAATCTTTGATTTGCTCTGGTCCCCGTCCCCTTCCTCGGAAAAGCCCCCCCCCCAGGCCTCTGCGGGCCTTCGTCCGGGCCAGAACTTCTGAGGGATACATTCTCAGGGCGGGCGACGAGAAGCCTCCCTGAGTCACGCACACAATTACACAACAAGCAACCGCTTTTTCCCTCCGGCGGCGAGGCAGATCTGCTCCAGCGGGTGGCGATTCGGGGCAACCGAGGGGCGAACTGGCCGGCGTGCAAGACAAGGGACAAAGGACTGGGGCGGCCGCGCAGAGGACAGGAGGAGCAGGAGAGCCGCTTCGACGTGGAAAACTCCCGCGTCGGGAGGGCCGGTGCGGCCAGCCGTGGCAAGCAGCCAAGATAGTTACTCGACCCTGGGCTGCGCCGTATCCAGATATGCACGATGGGGGAGCCGGCCGTGGCGACGAAGGCGCGCCCGTAGCCACGGCGATTCGATCAAAGACTTCATGGCCCTCTTCAGCGGAGGCCAGTCCACAAGAAGCCTTGCACAAGAAACCCGACCCTGAGACCCCAGGACGTCCATTGATTTTTGGTGTGGGAACGTCACGTTTTTTTCCACACATCGAAGCCCAAGAAACCCAGGGCACCTGGAGGCAAGCAAGGTGTTTCTTGGCATGGGCCCCCACTGCAACTTCGATCCGGGCCAGGTGCTGCCAAAGGTGTTCCTGGCCGAGAATGTCCCAAGGATTCCCAGGGAGGCCCTGATAGCGTCTAGATCACCCCTCACGAGGCCAGAGGGCCCCAGGGGCTCCAAAGCGAAAAGCCGAAGACACCACCTTCTCCCAGGACCGCCTCTGGCCTCTTCCCCCCCTTCCACATGAGGGAACAACAGAAGTACAAGTACCGCCTCTCCACGAACCCCTTCCAGGGCGCAGCCTGACCAGCATCTCGTTGAGAATCCAACCAGGGGCGGCCAAGAGGGGGGCGTCCAAGATAGGGGGGCGCAAATCATGGCCAGTGGCATGTGCGCGGCCCAGGGGGGGGCCGGGGACGTATTGAAATGAGACGAGGCGCCATGACATCTGGGGAGATCTCATGGCCCCCGCCATGGTATCCACCCCCTAATCATCGCCCCCCCCTTTGCGGCCCCCGACCCAACCGTGGTGACGAGGACTTCCCAGGACGAGAAGCAACATCGGTGTCGCCCCCCCCCCCCCCATCTGGCCGCTGGCCTGCGTCGCCTCGCTGCGCCGGATGCCCAACTGCCCCAGGCGGTTGTCCCCGACGGTGAACAGCTGGCGGGGGGCGCGTGCGACCAGGCGGAGGAGGAACGCGAGCCGGTCGCCATCGCGACGGCGGAGCGGCGCTGAGGCCGCATCCCAGTGGCTGTCGGCAGCCAGGCTGCCCTCCACCTCTTCCTCCTCCTTCTCCTCCTCCTTCTCCTGCTGCAGAATCAGTTAAGTCAGATACACCTGGGTGTCCAGCAGCGCTCGACAACTGACAGATGAAACCTTCGAAGATCCTGTTCCTACTCCCCTGGCCGCGCCTCCCTACCCCACCTCCTCCTCCTCCTCCTCCTGCTCCTGCTCCTGCTCCTTTTCCTCCTCCTCCTCCTCCTCCTTCTCCTCCTCCTCCTCCTCCTCCTCCTCCTCCTCCTCCTCTCCTCCTCCCTCCCTCCTCCTCTTCCTCCTCCTCCTCCTCCTCTTCTTCTCCTCCTCCCCGCCTCCTCCCTCCTCCTCCTCCTCCTCCTCCTCCTCCTCATCATCATGATGGCGGGTTCCATGCACCCCGAACCTCAAAGGGTTATGTCAGCACGCCTTGCTTCCGCCAGCCGTGCGCCACCCTTTCGCCGGGCATCCGCCGCCGGGGCCGCCCCCGCCCGGCGTCCGCCGCCGCCCGCGGGCCTTCCGCAGGGGATTAGGAACAAGGCAAGGCGACGCCAACACCACCAGGGCGAGGAGATGCGAGGAGGCAAGGGAGATCTCCCTGGTGGTGTGGTCCCCCCCTCTCGGTCGAGACATCCCCAGCCTCCAGCTCGGGGATCATGCTGGACCTCCTCGCTGGAGGTGGCCCCCCTGGTGGTGTTGGTATCGCTTCTCCTCCCTCCGAGGGGAAGGGGTGAGAGCAGCTGGAGCCTCCCATCCCCGGCCCTGAGGGATCCCCAGACCCCATCGGGCCATGGAAAAATCACGACGGAAACTTTTTGCAATTTTCGATCGCTGAGGGCCCTGAACCGGGCCTCGGGGGCGTCAAAAAACGGCTCGATCAGGATGAAAAACGGGTCCCGAGGAATGGGTCTGGACCTTTGGGTGTTGCGTCATTAAAATTATGACGTCGGGGATATGGGTCGAAGGAGTTGAGCTCCTATAGTTGAATTGGGGATCGACTACAGGATTGGTTGACTCCAGAATTGAGTTTCCCGCTGCAGATACAAGAAACACGCGGAATGCTCGTAGGTCTACAGGACTTCTAAGCAGTTGTCTGTAGATTCGGTGGGTAAATCAATTCTGGGGTCAATCGACTCTGCAGTCGATCCCCTACGCCATATAGGCCCGCAAACGGCATAGACATAACTTCTCGCAGATTCGCGCGGATGTCTTGGATCGGAGCTGCTGGACCACCCTGCCCGGCGCGCGGGGCGCGCCAGGGGGAAGCGTCAGAGGCGCCGCCAGGGGGCCCAGCGCCGATACAAGAAATCCGTGCAGACCTCCGATAAACAATGTTCGGGCCATTCTCTGTTTTCGACCGAAGGCGGAGTTGGGTGCCTCGAACTGGGCACCAACACCAACATGGGGGGGTGTCTTCACCCAGGGAAGATGATCCCAGATTTTGGTGCTGGTGGCAATCCTTCTGCCACCCGAGAAGCCCGAACATTGCCACCATCACCGAGATCAAGACCTTCCTCCCTCAGTGGAGGCAACCGCCGATACTGGTGCTGGTGCCAACCTCTAGGCTTAGGAAGGGCATGTCCTCCCACAGGCGGAGTTCGAAAGGAAGATAAAACACAATCCAAACATACTCGCAGTACGAAAACAATGGCACGAACAATCGTCACCATCATATTTTTTACTATTCTTGAATTCCCTCATCAGCGCTTGCACTGAAAGGGTCCTAGCGGAAATTGAAAGATTTGGCGAACATTTCCCGCCGATTTTGGTGGCCGGCTGGGTTCCTGGTTCCCGGGTTCCTGGTGATTGGTTCCGGGCCGATGTCGGTGGGTTGCGGGTCCCCGGGTTCCCGATCGATCTCTTATCGATCTCCTTCCCGATCCCTTTTCAAACCATCCACTGATTGGGGTGTTTCTCTGGTGCACGTGGACTATCCTTGAATCTCCTCCCTGTCGAGGGACGACGGAGGCCCCCTCTCGACGGCGGCCGCGGGCCCCGCGAGCGGCGCGGGCCTCCTCGGCGCCGCCCCCCCAGCCGGCAGGAGTCATGAGGAGAAGGAACGGAGGATGGGGAGGAGGAGGCGGCGGCGGGGGGAAGGGGAAGGAGGAGGAGAAGGGGGGGGAGAGGAAGAGGAGGAGGAGGAGGAGGAGGAGGAGAAGGAGGAGGAGGAGGGGGGGGGAGGAGGAAGAGGAGGAGGAGGAGGAGGAGGAGGAGGAGGAGGAGGGGGAGGAGGACAAGCTAGGTGCGCTCGCGTCATATCTGACATCCTACCCCTCCCTCCCATCCCTTACCATGGCGCAGATCCCCTCTCTACTCGCACAGTCGGATGTCGAGCAGGGCAATGATCCCGAAAGGGTACGCGATGCATTGTGGAGCACGGCATGGCATGGCGTAGAAGAGCACCGCGAAGCGTAGTATCAACCTAGCATTGCATTGCATGCCGTGGCATGGCACGGGAAATGACGGCAGCGCTGCAGCGGGAGCACGAGTCGAAACGAGCTGAAACGCGGAAATGAAGCCAGCGCTGCAGTGGGAGCACGATTCGTACCGAGCGGAAGCACGCCGGAATCGGCCCGGGAGGCTTCTTCCCGGGCGCCAGAAGCAGAAATTCAGCATTTTCAACCGAAAAATATGTATTGGAATGGCCTTTTTTCGGCGCCGCCTCGGAACTCGATTTTCAGGCGCCGGCCGGACTGGCTCTGGACCCGGCCCGGGCGCCGGCCCGGGCGCCGCGTCGGAATCGGCCCAGGAGGCCTCTCGGGCGCCGGAAGC